CACACGACCAGCAAATGAGTTGGGACAGGGCCATTCTGCAGCCCTCCGAGCTCATTTCTGCATCTCCAACATCACCTGTACCAGGCTGCACCTTAGATTCCTTTCAAACGCCAACAGCACAGAAGCAACTCCATCCGCTATCATTGGCTCCTCAATTTGTGTAGTACACTCCACACTGCGTGGTATCAACCGAACAAGAACTACACAAAGGCCAAGTCAAAGGCTTCGCTTGGACCTGTGCAGCCCAACACCGAGGCGGGACCCTTCAAGTAGAACAGGGCGATGGCTGGAAGGGCTTTGAGAAGGCTGGGGAGTTGAGGGCTCACACCAGAGCAGGATTGCTAGGAAAACGATACAGTCTTAGAGTCATAGATACCTGTTTCCAGGCCTCGCCCTACGATTCCATCCATGTGGGGGCAGCTGCTGAGCACTTGGACTTCAAAAGGTTGTGGAATGCTGGGTGGTCGCCATTTCTCACATCATAGGCTAGTTGGAATTTGGCAAGTGGTGGGGTTCTGTCCCTTGACAGGCTTGTCTTCCCACTCTCCCTCCCCACCCTCCCACACGCCTGCAGTTACCTTTCCAATTCGTTATCAAAATCTGGGGAGAAGAAGCCCCTTGAAATCTTCTGGAGCATGTTGCTGCAATCATCGTAAGACCCATCACGACATGACCCACGCCATAGGTAACAGTTGGCGGCAACCTGTATTCGCAAGAATTCCTCCACCTAGCAGTTTGCAATGGATTATATGATATATATATATATCTATCTATATATGTTTGTTTTTTACATTAAAGTAACTTATATAATACTAAATTCCCACCAGCAGCTATGAACTGATAATCATCCTCTCCCAGACTTGTACCAACGGATTTCAACCGCATGCGCAGGTTCTTGAGCTAGCTATGGATCACGAACACCTCACCTGTTTCACCATAATCACCTCCGATCTAAGATGTTGTTTCTTCCCTCAATCGGCTTGACGGTGTTTGTACATGGTTTCTGTGGGCTACCTGCCCCTCATCCCGCTCGGCAGATCTCATCCAATCTCGTCTCTATCTGACATCTCCTTGAATTTAAGTCAGCTCTCCGATTTTTCAGTGCTGAATGCTGCGTGTGATGGGTTTCGTTCATCTCACACCTCCAATGCGCGTTTGTGGGGTGGACTTGCCGACTTGACTTCAAAGTGCTTTGTGCGTTGCTTTTTGAAGCTCCTCACAGTCAAATGGTAACGCTGGGTCTGCCGAATCGTCACCTGGCCTTTTAGGTCAGTGCCTGAAGCTTTGCTGGAGCAACTGAAGCCAGGAGGTCGTATGGTCATCCCGGCATCTGGGCTTGAGAAAGTGTAGGAACATGGGGAAACACAGGGAATTATGAGTGGAAATATGTATATCGACCACCCTTCAAGAATGGCAGCCACAGACATCCCTTGCCGCTAGAAGGTCACAAATCAAGAAGGATTAGGAGGAGGTTTGACCTTGAATGGTCCATGAGAATGGCAAGATTTGTGGAGTGAAAAGGAACGCGATGACATTCAAAGGAACCCTAAGACGTCAGAAGCCTGGAAGGAACTCACACAAGTTCGAGAATAACCTACAAGGACTCCAAAAGGAATGAATGAATTGGATTCGGGAAACTGGGACCGGTTTGGTTGGGAAGTTCGCGGGCCTAAGCAGGGAGGACGTGCACACCTCGTCAGCATGATTTCTTGAAAAGTTGCCTGGTTTGCTACGGCGTCCGAGGCATATTTATCCATCCTGGCTTTAAACTGATATTTTTGTATCTTGTGGTTTTGTTGCCGTGAACTGATCATGACAATGATACTTACTGGTTCTACTGAAATTCTACTTGCCCAAAGAGTTTGAGACATGAAGAGAGCACCAACCCACCAACATGGCATGTCTATTGATCCTTGGACCCCCCAACTTTGTCCAATCTTCATCCCCATCAAGTTGTCCAGCACACGCGGACCAGAAAACTGTGGCCTAGCGGAGTCAGGTTGGCACCACTTCCCAGCAGTTCTGCACCATCGACTCTTGGCGAAATTTCACGGGGACCCAAACCACCGAACCCCGAGACTCAGGCGATACGGTACGAACAGGCGAACCCCCGTGGTTGTTCTGCGTGGTTCGACCATCGAATGGCAAGCCGCGCTCTCGTGTCCGGAAGATGAGCTGAAGTTTGGAGTTCACACCTTCCCGGTTGGGCCACATCGAGCTGCACTGCGGTGTCAACTCATTTGGCTCCTGGATGTTGGTGTTTAATTCCGTAAACCATTCGACGTTGTCCTGGGCAAGCCAAGCAGCAGTTCCTGTAGTTGGGCGCCAGGGCCAGGGTGAGAATTCCATTTGGACTTCAGATGTTTGCCCTTGGCTCATCTTGGGCCGGCAACTGGCTTATTTCCGCAACCTAGGATCGGCTGCCAAATGGCAACTTTGAGCAGAAGAGTCTCATGGGGGCAGCTTGTTTGCCAGCAGAGCCAAGGGCCAGGAATGTGTCTGAAAAAGTGAAGCAGTGGAGTATATTCATCTCCAATTCAGGCTAGGAGGCCAGGAAGGCTTTCTTGATTGATTCAGAGTCATTATGTTTTTGTGGCTGGGACTTCGAGGTTTTTCACTCCCAATCATTCGACAGTGAACAAACTTCGGCCGATGCTCAGGTGATGTATGTGCCCTTGGTGCACCCAGCTAGCCCATGAAGGAGGCCACGACTTAGCAGCGCGTATGTCGTACGCAGCCACAACTTAGCAGCTAGCAGCTAGCATCATTTCGATTGTTTGAATGGTTTGGGGAGGTCCTTCTTGAAGCTTGACCGTGCACAAGGCTCTAAAGCTTGGAGCTCATAAGTCTTCTATAGCCACCTCCCGAGCAAAAAGCCCAGGCGTTCTCCAGTTGTCCTATGCTCACTCCTTGAGGGGCTTGCGCCGCTGCTGTGACAGCTGAAATTGGACCGTCTCTTTTCTCTTTGCGAGGACTCTGTTTCTTAGCAGCCCTGCTTTCTTAGCAACACTCCTTCAGATACGATGGAACCCTTCAGCCGATAGAACGACCAGCTAGATACACCGCCATACCTCAACAGCTGCGTTTGAAGGACATCCAGGCCTGTAGGAGACTGGCAGGCACAGTCACCATCAGCAGATGATGGACACAGAAGCCTCTCTTGACGGGCCTCACATTCCGTGACTTTGGGGTTGGCAGAGAAAATCCGCTGCTGTGCCCTCGAGCATGGAGGCCATGGTACTTCTCAAGCCTGGCCCTAGGATGCCCCAGGAGCCATTTCAGTGATTTGATTTTCAGGTTCAGCGAGCAAGTGCCTAGTGGGGTTTGTGAATGTTTGTGATACAGTACCAATGGTGGGCCATTGAGAAGCGACAGTTGATTTTTTTTGAAGCAGGTGAGGGGGTTGTAGCTATCAGCTGGCCTTGGCAGACCAATACTGGGTCGTCACAGGCAGGATCTGCTAGAAGCCAGCTTGAAGTTGTCTCGAATGTACGCTTTCGAAGCGGCAGTGCGATGTCGGGCTGGTGACTCTGTGGAGGAATCACTGGTTGGCAATGGTTGGCAGTGGCTTACATGCTGGTGTTTGGCTTACATGCTGGTGTTTTTGATCATATTGCATGTTAATCTCCACACATATAGCCTGTTATAACATTTTATGAACATATGCATATAAATATAAATGTACATAAATACTTAATTAGTTCAGAATCATCGATCAGAAGGTGACGTGAAAGACTTACCCAGCTACTTTAGCCCATGACCATGTGCGGATGCTTCTGATCACAAGGATCCGAATCAGGTGGGACGCTTTGCCTCGGGGCAAGCTTGGAGAACAGGGAACTCAGTGACGAGGCGTTTGCAAAAAGACATCGACAGCGAGGCGGTGGTTTTCACGCTATTTGTGCGAAGAAAACTAATTAACCTACTAACTTCTTGTTACTAGTAGTGATGCCAGGAGCGCCTCTAGTAGCGTCCTTGCTCCCAACAGCGAGGCCCTTTGTTACTAGTCGCTATTTGCTCCTAGTAGTAAGGCCAGGAGCTACTAGTAGGCGCAGATTCATTGGGCGGTGATTGGCGCCTATCTTCGCGTTGCGCAGAATGACCCCAGCCATGCGCAATTAGCTGCTCTAAGGATGCGGGGAAAGGGTGGGTTTATGCCATGCTATTGTGTACCGGCTGCTGTGCCATTTGATGCAGCAACTTCCTTCAAGCTATGTGGATTTCTGGTAGCATTTAAGCCACCCAACACTGAAGGCTCTTTGTCCCAGGCAGCTGGGCTCAAGGTCCTGTGGCAAGATGTGGCAAGAACACTTGTATGGATCCTGCAAGTCAACTTTCGATCTTGTTTCTAGGTCGACATTGATGTGAACATATCCATAGGAGCGGTTAGAGCGTTAGACTCATGGAATTCAAGACTATATAATCTATATATAGTATAAAATATCGCGTTGATAGCTGCAACAGCAAATTCGTGTTTGCTTTGTTTTTGAGCTTTCTGTACTCATGTGGGCCTCAGCGCCGCGGCGCAGATGGACTGTGAGGGCTCATGTGTCAGTGAGAAGAACGTTTACTCACGTATGAAAGGCTGCTGAGATGGCTGAGGCTGAGACGTAACCGCACCAGCTATTCTCGAAGGGGACGGACTCTTGGAAGTGAACGGGCATCGTCGTCCGCGGGAGATCTTGCAGCTCATCCACATGCCCCGTGCCTTCGACTGCTTTGGACATCCCCTAGGCCCTAGACGCTGAGCAGCGAGGATGACAGTTGCGTGTTGCGCGCACGTTTCAACCAGATTGGTTGCATCGTCCAATTCGCTTCTTTTGCGCCAACGCAATCAGGGAAAATTCGATTGCAGCTGTTTGCAGTTTGCATTTTGTTTGAATGATTCCAGTTGATCTCTTGTCGGCAATGCACCCCCTACGGCCCTACAAGGAAGCCCTCTCAAGAGGAAGATATAAACCCAAGGTGCTGTCCTTTGCCATATGCCATGCATCCGTCAGGTTCAAGAGGATCTTTTGGGTGCCCTAGCTGTGGGGCCTCAGAGTGTGGGTCAAGAGTGCTCTTCTGTTTTCAAGCTGTTAGGGTAAGGGAAACAGACAGGGTCCATAGTAATCAGCTGTTTGCTTGGTGTTACTGTACCCTTTACTTTAGATGGGACAGGATTGACAAATCTTTTGAGGTACCCCAAAGCCAAACACATTATGATTGTCAACAGGTGAGCTGCTGATGCTGGAGCTCATCAAGTGAAACGGTTTTGATCCATATTGATCCATCTAACACAGAGATGGTTGATCAAACTGTCCTTTCACTCCCCAGCCGAGCAAAGCCCTTCGCAGTGGAGGGAGCGTTCTTGCGTTCGCAGGCGGAAGAGGATGCGCGTGCTGCCGAAATGTTGGCACGGCCACGGGCTCAGTGCCGTCCAAGAGGCCAACTCAACTCACAATGCATCGTAACGGGCTGTCCCTTTGCCATGTATACCTATGTCCACAGAGAAAATCGCGTGTTCTTAGCTTTTTTTGTCAGGAAGGTGTTTGTTTTAAAATTTGGGGACCCCTTTTCCCTTCTACCATGGTGATGCCGATGCCTCGCCCTCCTTTTGAGACAAATTCATTTGTATCTCAGAAGAATTAAGGCACTTGTATGCTGTGGGCATTCTATTTCTGGGCAGAGCTGAGGCTAGCTCCTCCGATGCATGGATATACTCCCAGGACGGAGCCAAGCACCAATAGCGAGCGCGAGCGCGGCGAGCCACCCTAGGTTCTACAGGACACAAAGAGTCGTGGTGCCATGATGTGCTACTGTTTTGGCAGCTTTTGACTTCTACTGCCCGAGTCCTGCGGCTCCTACGGCTCCTGCGGCTCCTGCGGCTCCTGCGGCTCCTGCGCTTGCTCCAGTGCAGCCAGCATGGTCCTTTGCGGCACCATGAGTCTCGAGTGCTTCTCCGTTGCCGTGAGTGATGTTGGGATCCAACAGGTGGCCCGTAAAGGAGCTTCCAAGCACAAGCCAAGATACTGAGATGCAGTAAGATGCAATAAGTTTAAAATAGGGGGTCATACCTTATATATATATAGAAACTGTACATTGCATGGTGAATCTCGCCATTCGGATTTGCCTGTGCTCTTGTTTCATCTCTTTTCTATACACAGCTGTTGGGCTCAATGCTGTGCTAGCGTCTCGCTGGTCCTTCTCCACTCCACTCACTTCACATGTCAGTTCTTCCTCGCGACCAGCAGTATGGCGTTGAAAACGATGATTTTTGTACGCCACGGCCAATCTGAATACAACAAGGCGCGGGCAACAAGTGTATATACGGCCGACCACATGTTTGTGGAGGAAAGATGAGGAAGGTAGTCTTCCACTAAGTATAATTGTTCGCTTCCATGCTTATGCGTATGTGCTTCCCAGTTTTGGTCCTTTTGGCCGCTTGGTCTGAAACCTCACTGCAATCGCAAGGGTGCCGCCGCGATGCAGGCCATGCGAGAGACTGGAGAAGATCCCTTTATCCGCGATGCCCCATTGACATCCAAGGGCTTGGCGCAAGCACGAGAAGCCCAAGCAGAGCTGGCAGAGCTACAGGCAGAATAGTCAATAGATGTCAATAGTCAGAATAGTCCTTGGTGTGGATAAATGGGCCTTTTCCCGCACCACTTGAATGATGGATGACCTTTTGTCCGTTTGCTTGAAGGAACAGACTGAAAGGGGCTGCATGACATCTAGGCTCGCTTGATGAGAGCACACCACGGAGGGTTGAGTTTGCGACATGCCCGGCCCATGGAAGCCTGCGTCGGAGGAAGCCTGCGGAGCAGATGGTTGGCTTCTGCTGAGTTCCCCTCTGCGGCGCGCTCTTGACACTGCTGCAGGCTGAATGCCACGATGCGCCACCCATGCTTGTGTGCCCACCTTCGTGTCAATGGTCTTCCACCCGGCAATGGTAGGAAAATGTAGGAAATGTCCTCAGCTTAGAGTAGTTTATCAATGTTTTTCCTCTTCTTCCCTGCTTCAAGACCTGTAGACTGCCTTCGGTTCGGTCAACCCGACACTGCCAGACACCATTTTTCACTGGAGGTCTTTGGCCCAAGGCCTTCTTTGGCTCCGAAGGCCGTCTTGAAGTTTGGCCAGAGCTGCGTGAAGTTGTATCCTGGACAGAGAAGCGGATCGCACAGCAGAGGATCGCACATGTTTCAAGTGTTTGCAAACAATCACATGTCATGCCTACTGCCTACTTCAACAATCCTAATAGAGAATCCAGGCTTTTAGAAGTTCAGATCAGTTAGACGGTAGACGTCTTTGGGATCAGTTGAGTCACCGAGGTGACCGGATGTGATGACTTGGGTTCAACGCCCCAGCAGTTGCTGGAGACGTACCCGCATCTCTCAGAGCAACTGCAGTCTTTGCCCGAGATTTGGTGGACCGTGCCGCACGTGTACAAAGATCTCCCAGGTGATGGCCGCCTGGCGTGAAGCCGAGGGCCTTTCATAAGAGGTCTATATAAGCATGTTGCAAATCATTGTTAGAACCATCCGTATTTTATTGTGTTATCAAATTTAAGTGTCACCTGGTCTGACAGAAGCAAATAAATGAATACTATGAACTGATGCTTTAAAAGTGACTGCTGCGAAGAAAGCAATCAAACCAACCAGCAAGAAAAAGCACAGATAAACATAGAAGGGCTATACGATGTGTTATACGAGGTTTATGCAGATGTCTTTTTCGCTCTGTGCCCCTTTAGTTTTAGCATGTTTTAGCCGCTTCTTGGGTGCGAGGCGACGACATGCGACTGGCCTACAAGAGAGACCCCGACGCCTTCGAGGATGCCGATGAAGCGATCTTTGAGCAGCGCTTGGAGGTGCTCCTGCGAAAACTGTCCGCCGTGTCCGAACAGAAGCTGGCCAGAAGCCTAGTGAGAGAGAGAGAGAGAGAGTTGAGAAACTTGAAAAGGCCGTAGATTGGAAAATGAAAGTTGCACGAAAAAGACTTGCAAACAATATGCCGATAATGCCTTTTCAACTGTCGATTGGATGTGGGCTAGTCAACAATCATTTTGCTACCACCTGTTCACCAGTGGGGCCTCCAACCGCTGACCTCCCTGGGTTTGGTCCTGCATCCAGGTCGTGGTGGCCCACTGTGATTTGATCGGCCATCTCACCGAGAAAATGGGCCTCAAGGATGCGAATCATCGCTGATCGACCGGTTTGCGTTCACGACAAAAATTCAAAAGCGTGGCAAACTTCGGGGGGAACATTTGCGCAAGATGTGAGGGGAAAAAACATAGTTCAACCAGTTGGAAGATGAAGCAAACGACGTTGGATCTTTTTAAGGCAATGACACATCAGAAAGCTGGGCCGTTCAATCCTGGCACTGACCGGTCAGTGACCGGTGGTGGCACCGCGTAGCAACGCCATGTGTTTTTGTGCTGCATGTGCACTTTGTTGATTTTCTGAAGCTCTCTAAACGACATGGGTGGACATATCATTCATTTCCAGAAGTTCAGAAAATATCTATGCACGACTTTCCACCAAACTATGCAAAAAGCAAGAGATGTTTCAGAAATTCAGAGGCTGTCCATTCCTGACTTTTCGCCAAACTATGCAAAAGACTTGATCTTCAGAAATTCAGAATTTGCATGGATTTGCTAATTGTTTACTTTCGGCCAAACTATGTAAACACATATTGTCAGAGCTTCGGACGTGGTTGATGATTGATTTTCCGCCACAAGTCATTTCCGAGAAGAAATGAACCTCTCCTACAGCCTGCAGGTCTTGGATTATTTGCCCAATTCCTTTTGACCAATTCATTGAAAGAAGGGAAGGTAATCACTTAGTTATCTTAGTTTTGGAATTGTTCTAAGTGTGTGCTCAAGCTTGATGGCTGCTTCACCGGTGAGTCTTCTTCTGCGCGAGGAGCGGAAAGGCTGTGGTTTCCGCAAGGGCTGGTGGCTACGTGTCTTGTCATATTGCAGCAAATCTTTTGACATCTTTTGACTAATCAGACCACTGTTTCTGAAAGGCTCGCACAGGTGAAAGTCATTGAACGTCCTGGTGTTTTGTTGTGTTGCGGATGCTCCATTGGAGCGGGGCGGAAGTCCTGGTGATGCTGCATTCTGTTTCAGTTTCGCGTGGTTTTGTTGGGACTGGTGTTTTGGAACCATGTCTACCTGTGGGTGTGCCACAGCGATTGGTTGAAACAATGCAACACCTTCAAATCTAGAAGGTTCTGATGTCATATGCCCAGCGATGACAGGCGTTTAATTGAGAGAGGTTCTCAAAGTCCTTTCCGCAGAAATAACTTGAAAGGAGTAGGAGCAAGGACGCTACTAGGGGCTCCCGGCCTTACTACTAGGAACACGAACGCTACTAGGGGCTCCTGGCATCGCTACTAGGAGCAAGGACGCTATTGAAACTCGTTTTTTGCAAGGTCTGTGCGACAGGGCCACGGCAGGTGTTGCCATCAGGGAAGGAGTTCTTGTAGAGATGTTGCCAGAGCTTTCCGAGTTGGGAGCAGTTGGGAAATTGGGCATGTGCCCAATTGAACTTTCTGTCCTTTAGGAGCTGTGGCCCTTGCCATATGTATAGGTAACCGCACTGGGGATAGTGATAGGATACTGTTGGCTTTGGAATGGGCAGCTAGACACTGAGTTTGACCCACCACACCTGTGGCTTAATTATGATGAAAGCGTGGGGAAAGTGCGTGGTTCGAAATTGAGGCAATTGCGAGTGCCGCTTGCTCCAGGACTTTGACTTTGCAAACTATGAGATGGGCTGCGTGAGTGAAGAACCCAGCGAGGAAGCATTTGCGACTGCTTGTGATTGTCCTGCTGGCTAGCGGCTAGCGAATGCAAGCCACCAAAGCAGAAGTTGCTAATTCCTTTTTGCCAGCCACTACCCAAGAATTTTGGCAACGCTTAGTCGTCCTGTACAGTAGCGCTTGCTGGAAAAAATGGACAGCTCGAGAGCTGGGGAGCCTTCCACCGACTGTGCCGACTGTGTGCGCGTGAGGTCGCGCAAGCTGCTCCTGAAGTACTCAAGCAGAGTGCGCAGAGGTGACCAGAGCTGCAGTTCTTGATGTGCTCCGTTCAACGAGTCGCCCAGGACATCGAAGCCCGAGAAGTCGGTTCCTAGGCAACTGAAAAGTCGGTGTCGTTGACCTGATGCAGTGGAGATGGTGCCACTCTTTGCGTGACGCTAAGAGGAACACAGTTATGCCGCTTGCCCATTCCCCCATCTGTACGGATGTGCCACCGTGACAGCGTTTTGTGGCAAATTCTGGGTGGCCAAGCCGGCTCACAACTCATTTGTTTCGCCCCACAGGCCGCGTGAGGATATAGAACGAGTGGAGGAGAATCCGAGGTGCGTGCACAGGTATGCGTTGCAAAAAGGAATTTGATTGCGAACCTCGGGGTAGGACGTGTGTTTGATTTGTTCTTTCGACATGCCTTCATTTGCGCAGATTCGTGCTTTCACCGTTCAAGGCCATTTGAAGACGAAGACAAGGCATACCGTGCAGCAGCAGAGGCCAGGTGCGTCCGAAAGAGTTTCGAGGAAACAATTTCCAACATTTTCCAACTATTTTTGCTTTAGATAGCAATAGCTAGAAGCTACTTGGTTGGAGGCCAGTACTACTAGTAACAAGAAGCTACTAGTAGCTAGAATTCGATTGAGCCACACCCTGCGCTACCTATACGTCTTTAAGTCTCTGTTAAGCGGAGGCAGCTGCAGAGCGAGCCCTTGAGCGAGATCGCAACAGCGATTGGTGGAAGAAGCTCCAGGCAGTCCTTGTCCACAATCAATGGGCGACAAGTAAGTGAAAGTCTTTCTCCTTGGAGATGGCAATTTGTTCATGAGTTCATGCCTGTGCTTCCAAGTGCTGCAGCCTACCAAGGCCCAAACGAAGCCATCTCCCGTCGCGCGCTGTGAGCGGCTGCAGCTACCTTGGCCCGCTGGCAGAGATGCCATGTCACAACCGAATGGCATGGAGGCATGCCACCATGCATAGCGCAACATTTTGTTGTTTCTTCACTTACTTGGTTGCCAGCAGCAGTGACACCTCCAACATGTTCAACGTGCCATAGCGCATTGTTGGTCACAAATATGTCACAAAAAACCGATGCCGTCGCACTGTCCTGAGGCCAATCCACCGGGATCCGACCGGCAAGCGGAAGACGTATTGATTGGCATGGCTTGATCCATGTTCCACGGTGGTCATTGCAGTAGCTTAACTGTGCCATGCTGAACGACAGCCTTACTGGGAAGTTAAAGCAGTTTGATCCCTTTTTCTCGCTAGTTTAGAACGGTTTTGAAAGCTGCCTGTTGTCTAGCTAGAGGCCCAGGATTGCACTTCCTTGGCGCTGCAGGTGCCCCTTGCCCACCAGAGGCTTCAAAGTGCTTGTGGAGGCCGACCAGCGGGGTGGAAGTGTTTGGACTGATGTGCAGAGACTTTACAAAGGGCGTTTCGTTCCTTTCTGCTTTAGTTTGTTTGCTCCTGTGCTGCGCCTACGTTGTACCTGCAGTTGCCCACATAACTACTTGCAGGTTGATGACGAACATGCAATTTGGTTCAGGGCGTGCGTGTGTGTGTGTGTGTGTGTCCACACCTGTCCCTAAGGTTTCGAGTCACAAAGGACGCTACTAAGGGCCCCCGGTTTCGCTACTAAAGGCTCCTAGTATCGCTATTAGCGCACAGCTTGTCAATTTTTTTAACATGTACAAAGCGCGCAAAAAAGAAGCAGGGGGATGAGGATCCCTTGGTGTGCCTCATCTAACAAAGACCGCACCAAGTGGATGTGATATCAGTGCCCGGCCAGCACTGACGTACCTGCCTTTCAATTTTTAAACCTTTTCTGCAGTCACGCATTGAGCTTTTGGCCTTGCTTCCTCTTCAAGACCTCCAGGCCCCAGAGGTTTATAGTCGCTTCTTCTACTCGCTCGACCGTTGAGTTCTGCAGACTTGCGAAACAGCTTTTGTTAAAACATCTTCAAGTATTGTGGACTCTCCACCATACCGTTTCTCACCTTCC